CGTAACGTAACGTAAGTAACGTAACGTAAGTAACGTAACGTAAGTAAGTAAGTAAGTAGTAAGTAAGTAGTAGAGAGAGAGAGAGAGAGNNNNAGAGAGAGAGAGAGAGTTAATGAATGCGAAAGGAGAGGAGTGAGTAGTATTGTATCTTTTTTTGGAAACTTCTTCAAGGAAGCAGTTTTTTTTTCATTTTTTCAAATGTTAATGACTTTTTCATTGAAAAGAAATGAAAAGTATACCGAAAGGACATGGAAGAAGGAAGGAAAGAAAAAAAAAAAAGAAAAAAAGAAAAAAAGAAAAAAAAAGAGAATACGAGGGGACGAGGGCGGAAAGGCCAACAGCTCACTTACATTGTACTTTGTCTGGCCAAAGAATCTGCTGCTTCAAAGAAATAATTTTGTTGCAAAGAGATAAATAGATAGAAGGGAACTAAAAAGCATGGAGAGAGAGATTTTGGGAAGCAATAAGGAGTTGCTATTTTTATTGACTTGGAAAAATGAGGGTGATACAATGAGAGTATTAACTCTTTTTGCAAAGGTGTGTGTTTGTGTATTGTTGAAAAAACTCTAAATAAATAAAAGAAAATACCTATATCAAGTGAAAATTTTTAATTAATATCAAGATGTAGCTCCCAGGGGCTTATATACGTTCTACCCTCTTAGACGTTCGGCGTATATTTTACCGGCGGGATGCCCGGATCTCACTCCAAAAGGTAGATTGGAGTGGAGAACTTAGGAGATCCCATCTAATTTTTTTCTCAGGTAAATTTGGGAATAAAAAATTACAAAATTTGGAACTTGAATGTAAAATAAACAATATAAAATTTTAAAATATCAATAATGGGGTTTTTCCCATTAATTTTCAGCCCTTAGAAAGGAAAATTTATCAAATTATATTTGAGAGATGAAGTGTCTAATGTTTCACCCAATGGTTTAAAAAACGGATCGGTGATCCGGATCGAGCTTCCAAAAAACAGATCCGGATCGACGAATCGGCGATCCAGATCGAGAATCGGGTGAATCGGTCAAGAATAAAGCTAAAAAAAAATCCGAAAAATTTATTAAAATTCATTATAAATATTGTTTTTTAAGAATTCAATAAGAAATGATGGTACTCCATTAAGAATTTTCATGTTTTTGAATGAATATGCGAATATTGATATGTTGTTTCCCTGCATGAACCAACATTCAGCATTTAATTTACATCACAC